AAAAGGAATTTCTTTAAAATTTTGACACAATCTGCTTTGTGAAAAGATCAAATCTTCTATAGAGTACATATGAAATTTAGTCTGGCTGCACTCCAGTCCCTTTCCATGCACAGGTCGAACAATAAGAAGCTGATTTTATCTGGGGATTAGAACATAATTCTGAGAAACAATTACTTTGTTTAGCAGACAGCATCATAATTAAAAATTAATGCTTGCAGAAGTCAAAAACAATCAACTGTTACCTTCGGGGTCAGTATTAGCCTTCCAGTCTTGGGGATGGAGTATTTTTAAAATGCATCTCAGATACTTGAGAATGTTGTGTGCCTATCTGTAATGTGCTTAAAGTAGTTTTCATGCTGTCTGGACATCATGTTTTTTCAACTGGCACTATGGTTTATTTTTATTTTTTAACTCCCTTGTAAATTCAGCTATGGACCAGTGTGAGAATGTTTTCCAGCCTTCTTATTTACATTGGGTTTTTTTAGTCCTTAGGTCATCACAGTTTCCTTTTTACCATTGAATTATTAAAGTTATCCAAGCTCCTGTGTTGACATCTTGTTACCTCAGCTGTCCTTTTTGGACATGACCTTTGTTGTATGACAATTGCATCCTGCGGGGGGGAACAATAACCCAGAGACAAAAGGCATTTAGCAAAAATAGTAAAAAATAGTAAAAAAGTAAAAAAATTAAAATGATTAAATACTGTTGTAATGGAAGCTGACTATTGTGTGCTGTCCGGCAATGGATAATAATGTCTGTTTAATATTTTGTTTAGAGAATGGCAGTGGTCTCTGCAATGTCCTGGGTCCTGTATTTGTGGATAAGTGCCTGTGCAATGCTCCTCTGTCAGGGGTCCCTCCATCACACTTTCCAGCAGCATCACCTGCACAGACCAGGTAGGACTGAGATCAGCTGTGGGATGCCATGAGATTGCAGGCTTTCTGCCCGTGCTTATGTCTGTCTTGATAATGATTGAATAATCATAAAATCCATTTTATCATTTAACTTCTATGAGTTGCTTGCCTTTATATTGCACAGCATCTTTTTTGGGTTGGTCTAATGTGCTGTGCTTTGCCAATCTGATGTTGGAAGATTTGCCCTTTAGCCTTGTCTTCGAACAATTTCCCAACACAGGAATCCCATTTTGGATAACTGTTCAGTTTCTCTGTCTCTTTCTCGGTACTTATTTCTATAACTGTTCAGTTTCTCTGTCTCTTTCTTGGTCCTTATTTCCTTCTTTCTCCTCTTTTTGTGCAGTTCTGGAGTGGGTGTATAACTCGGACATTGTGACAGCACAGGTTTGGATAACTTTGCAGTTATCTGACCCAAAGCAGACATGGGTTTGTTACTTAAATTACTGGCACCAAATCTCACTCATAGTCACTAGTGTTTACTGGAGGTCAGGTGTTTGCCTTAGCATAAATGAGAGACACGGTTATTGTAAGGTTCTCAAGTTTACCTCTGAAAATTGGTGGGGTTGCGAAAGTGCAGCCCGGAGGAGAATTTGGGACCGTCTTTTGATGGAGTTAAATGCCTGTAAAGTCAGAATAAGTCCCAGAGGTTAGCAGTGGAGAATGCAGCTCACTGACTGTTGTGATCCACAAAGACTGCACATGAGTAGTTTTACTGTGTTTTTATTAATAGGAGTGGATCAGGTAACTTTTTCAACTGTTAATTGCACTTTGAAGAATATGTGCTGTGTTTAAAACGTGTGAGGAGTTGGCCTATTCTAGCGCAGTATTATCATCTGGTTAAAATTAGATGGGCCAAGAATGTTGCTGAACAAATTTGGATCCAAAGAAAGGTGGGAGAGGTTTTAAGAGCTTCAGAAATTAAAGATGCAAAATACTAACTCGCAGTGATGAGTCATTTAACAATGTGGCAACTGATACTTTAATTTTTTTTGATCTAATGGCATACCTTCAAAGACAAACGGTCTTGAACCACAGGTCTTTAGCGACCTTAATGACTCAAAGTTTTTCCAACTGCTGTCATTGCCCAAAAGTCATAGGTATTGGCATTGTCTTGCTTTCTTGTATATAAAATATGCATAGTATAGAGGAATAGACCTAAACCTTTGATAGCCCAGCTCTCAGTAGCAATTTAGAGCATCAGATTAGTTAATGGTGTAATCTAGTAACTAGCTGGCACTGGAAGTTTGAGCGTGTTTGAAGTCTGAGTGCCAAGGTTCTTATTTGGGATTTGTCGAGAAATGAACATAATATTTATTAGAATGCAATCGTAAGTAATGTTGCTGGTTATTTGAGTCTGTGCCCCAGTAAAGGAAATGGCGGTGTGTGTGTGGGGGGGAAGCCAGTCCAGCTAAACAGATAGGTAAAAGGAAAATGTAATCTCATTTTGTAAAATCAGTTGAAACAAGTGACATTATGAGAAAAAATGAGAGCTGGGCAGATTCAGAGCTCTGCAACATTTGCCTAAGCTTGAAAAATCACCTTTTTTATGAAGCGAGAACAGCAAGACACTGAATGCATACCAAGTGTTTGGGGAAATGTGAAAAATGACAAAAATCTTTCACTCAGAGATGCGATACAGATAGAGTGAAGGTTTTACAGCTGCCTCATCACCTACTTAGAAACAGCCAAGCTTTCCCTCTTGCGAGCCTTTCTCAGGCAGCTTCTCCGCACCCTACATGAGTAAGATTGATGGTGTTCTGATCCCAGGCAGCCAATTTCAGTCTCTCAAGAAATAATCCACTACATTGACAGATGAGTGGAATTTGACATGATGTTCACCTCGGATTCAGATTGTGCTGCACCTGGGAAGTACCAGCTAGTGAGCGTCCTTTAGGGAAACTGTTAGAGATTTTGGACAATTTCTGCTGTCACAACAGAAAATCAAGACAGTGTTTTTTATAAGGCCATGAATTTGCAGTCTGCCAACTGAATGTGAAAGGTTGTACATAAAAGGGATGGAAATATGTTAACTAGCAAACTGAGTGATTTTAATGTATTCAACTGCAGTCCCTGAGCACACCCTATTTTTCATATTTATAATATTAGGAATGCGTCATTTACTTTTAGTTAGTCACTGTGTAAGTAAGATTAAAATGTTCAGCCAAATAAAAGTGAATAAAAAATGGATGCAGATGAGCCAGTGCATAATTCCAGTAATTTAATATTTGGTATATGAAATTTCAACTTATTAAATCATGGCAAATATAGCTGTAATCAATAGCATGCTCAGCATACCTTTTCCTTCAGTTCGTGATCTTCCATAGATAATGAGATGCTCTGAAATAAAAGGTTTTGAGCTGCTCAACTCCATCGTGGGGCTACTTTGGTACAAGATAATTAAAAAGGCAGGTTCTACCCTATCTTGTGCTTCTCATACTTGATGCATAGAAGAGTCTCACTGAGCACAGGAAGGTGCAGGTGAAAGATAAAATCCTCATGGAGTGTATTTAATGCAATAAGCTTGAATTGAACTTGGTGGATTAGCACAGTGAATATACCCATCTGTACTGCTGCGGTTAATCCAGTTTTGAAACACTGGAAACAAAGGGCAATACATGAAAAGGTTAGGTTATCATCCGAGATTTCCGAGCTTGCTCTGTTTTCCTGAAACTTTCTTATACAGGTGTCTGAATGGGTTGAAATAGATTTCTATGCACTATGTGCAATCACAAAAGTTTAAAGCTGCTTTTCAGTATAATTTTTCAGTTTTATAATTCAGTACTTCTTTGTTCAATTAGATATAGCAGAAGGTACAAACCTGAAAACAAATGCAATAAACCACTTTACGTGACAGTATTTGTAACTGACTGTCGCTTTATTTTCTCTGAAATGTTGGCAGGTGGGCACAGACAGTAAGGGCATAGTAAATACTGCTTGAATATAAGGTGGATGATGCGGTATTATTTGTGACTGTTTGTTCTTTTCTCATTAACACAATGAAAAGTTTGAATGCCACTGTTAAGCACCCTTAAGTATTGGTGGCTGTTCCCTTTGACTCTGGTAGGTGAGGAGACCAGGTTACATTTTTGGGCTTCTTCACTGGGATCCGGAGGAGACCTTTGGAGTAAGCTGGCTGAACACCATTGCAGTATAATTCCCCTTGGGTAATACATACGGCTTTCCGCAGGTTTTTTATGACTATATTTCATTTTCATGAAAATTATGTTAGGCAAAGGACGTATGAAAGCATTCACAGGAAATAACTTTATGTGGAAACAAATCTCCATTTTTTTCAAGCATGTCACTTCTGTGTGATTTAATAAGAAACAGCAGTAATGAGAAGAATTCCACATTGGCCGTTTTAGGCTCTGATATACACACAGTTGTAGAGCTGTTGAATTGGCCTGAGGATTAGAGTGGACAGGTTGTGATTTGCAGAGTTAGCTGAGTGCCTGTGATAGTCCGTTGATCATCTGATTGATGGGACTGACCCCACCCGAGGTACGAAGTAGGTGCTGGCATTTGGCAAGACAGCAAGATATTAACAAAGCAAAGGGTTCAAGTTTAAAAAAAAAAAAAAATAACCGCTTCCCCTCAGTCATGCAATTCTTACCAAATTTTCTGTCTTTGTTCCGTAAATGAGGGATGTTTTGCTCCCAGTGAGGACCATCAGCTAGTACTGAATCACAGAGGACGACACTGGCCATGTGTTGCTTAAAAATACAGGAAAGCACGTTAGATTCATCTGTAAGTTCATGCCAAATAATGAGCTACACATCAAGGATGCTAGGTTAGTCTTGCATGCAGTTTAAAGATGTGAGGCAGACACAAGCAGAAACATGTGCCTACTGTAGCAATGCTGACATTTGCAAATATGTTAAGTAAAAATAGGCATGTTCAGAGGAAGAAATCATGGACTGAATCAAGGCTGGAATCTTATGTCTACTGAACATGAATTACCTTTTATTGTGACAGTAGTTAATGATGTGCCCATTAAAAATCATCTGAAGAAGTGATTCTCCATACCTCATATTATGAGGAGGAAAATTGGTCTCAAAGCAATTCTACACAAACTAACAAGCAGTATCAACCTAAGGATGCTCTAAGCAGGTTTCTCAGTAGACAGCATTTTGCAGAAACTTAAGTCTGTGGCTGTGAGCAAAAAATTTTCTTAGTTCTGATCTTGGCCTTCCCGCTGATTGTTATAGCCTTCAGGGAAACTGCATATTTTCACATTTCTAAAGGTCTGCTATATGCCCCATATATGTGGCTATTCAGTTCAAAACAGACTGGGGAGAATGTTGGTCTGAATCTAATTCCTCAGAAAAAATGTAAATAAAATACGTGTCTTTACTTTGTAGAGCAACTGAGATCTGGAAGATGAATTCAGTGAGATTTTTGCTCTTGGTATGGACAGAAACAAGTGTAGGACCAGGTAGTTAATACATAAATGTGTACAGTTTCTGTGACTAGCAAGAATTGTATTACATTAATAATACAGTGTGAATGCAAACTCTTGCCTTTAGTACACAATGTCCAAATTGCCATGCAACAACTTAGGTAGTACCCAGTAGATTGTGTCATGGACATGAGACCTGGCAAATTGCATTTCTTGCTGCGTTAATTAAAATGAACAATTTTTTAAGCTCTAAGTGCTGATTCAGATCTCATTTACACCAGTAAATGCACAGGAGGCACCATATATATCCCAGTTTGTTCAAGATCAGAAAATCGTGCTCACAGTGAGCTATTCCAGTCCCTCACTGGAAATCACCTCTCTCGTGACACCTTTCTGTTATGTACCTTTGGCCTTCACAGTCAGTTCTTGAGTATGTGAAACATCCAACTGCTCAGTAAGGAAATGCAGGTTGGAGGTGCTTTCTCTGTTCCTGCCCACATACAAAATACACTTGGATGTATGCGGACAAACGTATTTGTACGGGTTTTTTTGTGCAGGCAGAGAATGGATGTAATGAAATCGG